GACCCACATTTTTGGGGGTCCTGAAGCTTGAACTGTTATGGGGAGGCCCTTCGCAACCAGCAATGGCTACCCTACATGACACTTTAATAACCTTTTAATTTGTATTTTAACTATTATTATATACTGAATTACACTATATTAGTAATATTTAAAAAAAAAAAAACTCGTACAGTAGACCCAAAATTTTAAGCAATGTGGATTAAAGTGGCTTCTGGAGCCCCTCCGGGATTAGGGGCCCTGAAGCTGAAGCTTTATTAGATTCATAGTAGATCCGCCCCTGGTGTGAGCCACTAATGTGGGTGGTCCTCACAACTGCTTCTGAGAGCGTCAACACTCCCTGCACTCCCATGGTGCGTCCTCCCACAGTCCGCGAGGCCTTTCATACTACGAAACACTCTTGACCAGCTGCCATCTTTCTTTCTGCCTCATAAAACTCTCTTTCCTGCCTCTCAAATTCTCCCTCGTGCTTTACAGAGTAGTTTTCCTTCCTATTGAATACATTTTCCCTTCTGTCAAACTCCTGCCAAAGCCGCTCTTCCCTCCTGTCAAACTCTCTTTCTCTCCTGTCAAACTATCTGTCCCTCCTGTCAGACTCTCTGTCCCTCCTGCCAAACTCTCTGCCCTTCCCGTCAAACTCTCTATCTCTCCTGTCAAACTCTCTGTCCCTCCTGTCAAACTCTGTCCCTCCTGCCACACTCTGTCCCTCCTGCCACACTCTCTGTCCCTCCTGCAACACTCTGTCCCTCCTGCCACACTCTCTGTCCCTCCTGCCACACTCTCTGTCCCTCCTGCAACACTCTCTGTCCCTCCTGCAACACTCTGTCCCTCCTGTCAAACTCTCTATCCCTCCTGCAACACTCTCTATCCCTCCTGCAACACTCTCTGTCCCTCCTGCCATACTCTCTGTCCCTCCTGTCAAACTCTCTATCCCTCCTGCCACACTCTCTGCCCTTCCTGTCAAACTCTGTCCCTCCTGTCAAACTTATTTTCCCTCCCGTCAAACTCACCTCTCTTCCTGTCTTTTAATTCACCTACATATCGCATCTTTCATATTAGTTTCACATGAAACTCTCAAAACCGCTTACCAAATAAAAGTAAGAGCAATCTATCCATCCATTTCTTTCCTGCATAATCTCCATAATTATTTTAATAACAGCTTATGTCTTTTATTTCGAGAATATAGCCTATGTAAATGCTGTATCTCAACTTACTCTACCTTCATTATTTCTTGGCTAATTGTGGGCTCCACGTTGGTTCTGTACACTCGAGAACTAATCTAACATACATTGTCTTGAATGTTTGCTTGTGTAAACTCTCAGAGGTGTATCTTAAATTTCTCCGGCGTGCATGCACCGCTGATATTATCTTGTTGTGTGTGTACTCATCTAATTGTGGTTGCAGAGGTCGATTCATAGCTCCCGGCCTCGCCTGTGTGTGTGTGTGTGTGTGTGTGTGTGTGTGTGTGTGTGTGTGTGTGTGTGTGTGCATACACCTTGGGAGAGAGAGGTCACTTTCTCTGTCTAATGTATAGAGTTGCTTTATACCTGACCATTCGTCGGACTATGCTTGCCTGTTTGTCCAAGTCTTCCTGCATTTTGTCCAAGTTTTCACTAGTTTTTATAGATTTTCCTGTTGTGCTCAAGTCTTATTGTTTTGTCCAAATCTTCCTGCTCTTTTTTCAAGTCTCCTGGAGTTTTTCCAAGTTTTCCAGCAGCCTTCGTTTAACATGTCAGTCTTTCTGCAGTTTCTCCAAGTCTTCCTGCAATTTCTTTAAGTTTTCCCTCTGTATGTGCAATTGCTCCCGTTGTTTAAGACTTCCAGGTGCTTTTTTCCATGTCTCCCGCAGTTTGTCCAGATCGTCCTGCGGTTTCTCTCATTATCTGTTGCTCATATCCTATGCACAGGCTTTTAATCTTCTGAACAAACCAGGCTTCTTATTAAATTCAGCTTGTTATTTTTATCCTTTCTCATGCTTAAGACCTTAATAAGACCTTAAAATGAATATCTGTTTTGAGTGTGTTAAGTACTTCTGAAACCACTGATGCATTCTTTCCATTCTCTTTCTCAGTGGAAAAATAGACACAAATGCACTATAATGCGATCCTTTATCGATGACGTTTCGTCCACACAGTGGGCTTTATCTAGTCATAAATATAGGTAGTGGTAGGCTGGCCAGGACATCCTGGCCCCGGTCTTCTCCATCTGGTGATCCCGCCATAGCTCCTCGTAGGGGGAATACCTTAGCAAACAGTACATGGAGTATATATAGGAAGCATAGAGATGTGAAGAGTCAGGAGGGGAATATTGAGAGGAGGTTATATTTAAGAAGGACTTGCATGGAATGGGCAAGTAGGTACGTTACTATGTAGGTTAACAGTGAAGAAGTATCCTGGCAAAGTATCCTGTAAAAGTATCCTGTAAAAGTATCCTGTAAAAGCCGTTGTTATAGTTAAAATTGTTGGATATACAAATAAGTGACGATTCCAAGTTCCTGCTAAGCTCAGTGTCAGTATTTTATACTATTTATATGTCTGTCATAAATGGAGTCTCTCTGGTGGGAACAGTCTGTGTATCCATCAATGTTTCATTATATTTCTCTAGGTTCGCGAGGCAGGATTTGTCTTCTCTAATCCTGTGTTGGTGTTCGATAATATAGAATATTTTCTCCAGATGTTTAACCAGTACCGAGGAAGCCTTAAAACCAAATAAACAATACGCAAACTTTATCATTTAATATTATTAAACATTTGTTGCCACTCTAAATGCAATTACAAACATTAAGTTAACCTCGACGACTTTTACATTATTGACACAGTTAAGGGACGTTCACGAGTTGCTTTGCTGATTTCATTTAATAAGTGAGGAAATCTTTTTTCTATTAAATGATCAGGAGCTAGCACAGTGTGCTTCAACGCGTTGGAATGCTGCTAAACAGATGTACAGAGAACTAGACATGAGGCGACACCCTGGCCTTAGACGGCCAGTCATCGCCACCTCCAACACCGACACCCTGGCCTTAGACGGCCAGTCATCGCCACCTCCAACACCGACACCCTGGCCTTAGACGGTCAGTCATCGCCACCTCCAACACCGACACCCTGGCCTTAGACGGTCAGTCATCGCCACCTCCAACACCGACACCCTGGCCTTAGACGGTCAGTCATCGCCACCTCCAACACCGACACCCTGGCCTTAGACGGTCAGTCATCGCCACCTCCAACACCTTTCTTCATTAAGATGAAAGTTATTACATTTCCACGACCTATATTCATATGATCTTCGAATAAATGACACAAGCTGACACAAACGTAACACAAGCTGACACAAACATAACACAAGCTGACACAAACGTAAGATAAACCTTTCTTCACTTCTGGCGTCCTGAACCGGATTGCCATCATCTCTACTAATGTCGAAAACGATATAAAATACCGACAAGTTGATGATTAAGACACATGTACAACAGCTGGGTTTGTTTATTGCTGAAAAGTTTCGCTACACAATAGACTTCTTCAGTCAAATACAGAGGCAGCAGGTGTAGTAGTGAAATGAAGATGATGTAATCAGTCCATCAACCTTGGTGGTCAGTCCCTCAGCTGAGGGACTGACCACCTCAAATACTATTTCTCCAAGGTTTATAGACAGATTATATCATCTTCATTTTACTACTACACCTGTTGCCTCTGTATTTGACTGAAGAAGTCTACTGTGTAACGAAACGCTTCAACAGTAATGATACCCAATTGTTGCACATGTATCTTAATCACCGTCTCTACTTTCTCTCACCGGTCACTGTGTAGAACTTGTGTTCTCACGTATTCCAAGTGATCAAGGTCTTAGGACCGAAACGTCTTCAACAAAGGTTCAGTTTCCTGACAAGTTGGTAATCTCATCTATATTTCCAATTATAATTGGAAATATATTACCTCGGTAATATTTTGAGTAACATAAGGAAATACATGAACAATAATTATTGCTCTTATATTTCCTTACCATACTCAAAATATTACCTAGATAAAAAATTTGTTGTTCACATTACAGTAATAACAGATTTTCATATCACTTGAAATAGACTCCCACAAAGGACAGATTTAGCCTTCAGCAGCTGCCATCTCCCCAGCCTCAACACAACGAAGCTACCACACGAGCAACACTCTTCAATCTTAGGTTTGCAAGGGATTCTCAGAATCTATTCTTGGATTTTCTTGAACGACATGATGGATGCTACATAGAGTGCAATTGCTTTAAGTGCACTCTGATAAACTGAGCGAACGGTATATGCCCTTAAAAAAAATTGACCAATCACTCTAAGTGAATCCAAAATAACATGCAACTCAGCCACAAGGATTAATAATGCATGTGGCAGTCTTGTACAACAAGAACACCTCAGTGAAAAGTATCGCAAAAAAAAAAAACGCTATCACTTGTTTTTTTTTTTTTTAAACAAAGTTCAACTGTACAAACTACGAGGAGATATTTTACTTCTCCTAAATTCAGCGTTTTGATTCTCTGTTTTACACCGCCTCACTGGAGGCGATTTAGAACGGTTTTTAAGAGATATTTTCACAGTATTCATCATAAATATTTACAAAACTAAGTATCTTTTGTTAAGTAGCTGATCATGGTGAAAGTTAGGCGATTTAAACAGAGGTGGAACTTCCTTCATGGTGCGTTTGGGTACACAAAACACAAGTGATGGTACCCAAATGGTGCATGAGGGTTTCTCCCATACAGTGAGCTTTATCAAGACACAAACAGATCTACATGGGAAGAGATGACATGAGGATATCACATAATGTGTTTGGGTACACAACACAGTGATGGTACCCATACGGTTCATTTGGGTACACACCACCAAGTGATAATACCCACACGATGCGTTTGGATAACAGGCGACCCACACCATCACTCCCACCCCTGTCTCACCGGCCGTGGGCTGAAGGAGGCAGGGTCAACGCTACTAACCAGGAGATCAGGTAACCAAATCAGTGATGACTTACCTGAGGTGCTGGAGAGCAGGAGACCAAGACAAGACCAGCCACAAAGGCCAACACAAACACTCTGAAACACGAAAGAGCATTAGCAGTGTGTTGCCGGGGATTAACGATGATAGTGATTTAGTGATTGTAGTGTTTGTTGAAACATATATAGTGGTTGATTTGATCATTAATTGTTGTGACAGTGATTAGTGATTTGTTAATTTGGTTTACAGCCTATCTACTACATGTAACCTTTCTACCATAAGCTGAGAAAATTTTAATCCCTAAAATAGAGATTAAAATTAATTTTCAGCATACATATAATATACATATATCGTGCCGAATAAATAAATTTGGTCAGTCAACAAGAGCTCATTTAAAATTAACTCCTTTCTAAAATTTTCTCTTATACGTCTTCACTGGAGTCAAGTGACCCCAGTGAAGAAGTCCTTTGGGATCATATTTGCTTGGACACCCTCTTTTCTGCAACTCTGCAAGCTCCTGATGATGTGTTCATTGCAACACGAAAGGCCTAGAGCTATCATTCTACTCCCTCTCCCGTGGTTGTTCTACACACACACACAAACATACATATATATATATATATATATATATATATATATATATATATATATATAAGATCACAGTAAACAGGTGATTTCAAAATATGCAAAACAACCACTCTGAAAGAATAGAGAAATTCCAAGAGTGGTTGTTTTGCATATATAATATATAATATATATATATATATATATATAATATATATATATATATATATATATATATATATATATATATATATATATATTTCAACAAGTCGGTCGTCTCCCACCGAGGCAGGGTGACCCAAAAAAAAGAAAGAAAATCCCCAAAAAGAAAATACTTTCATCATTCAACACTTTCACCACACTCACACATTATCACTGCTTTTGCAGAGGTGCTCAGAATATAACAGTTTAGAAGCATATACGTATAGAGATACACAACATATCCCTCCAAACTGCCAATATATATATATATATATATATATATATATATATATATATATATATATATATATATATATATATATACAGAAAGAGAGAGTGAGAAAGAGAAAGAACATATCTGAACACTTATCTACGTTAACGACCTATTCTTCGTAATTTACAAGTCAGAGAAAATAGGCGACGCCCAAAGGTCAGTCAAGTGATATTTACCATTGACAAGAATATGATTTTGCAGTAGTTAAGTGTGACAAGCTTAATATTTAACTTAGCCTAGCATGCCAAAGTCGTATGTTAGTAGAACAAAGTTATTTGGTAACATAAAGCAAATAACAGCGCAACTGGAGAAAAATCAGAGTAATGAGGTACGATTTAAGGGAAAGGAGATCCAGTTCCTTGAATCACGAGCCTCATCGGTGTCACTGAACCTTCCTTGAGAGGAAAAAAAATATAAGAAAATAAAACTAAAAATAAGTTAATGGGAAAATTATTTTTTTACAGAATTTCAGAGCATTCACCCGCCGTCTTCTCAAACTTAAAAATAAATATATTGAAATAAATGACGAAATTCGGGAAAATTTATTTCTTAAACTTGTTGAAACTAATACTAAAGAGGAGACGATTTAAGATCTCAGGATCGAAACTATTTTAATAAATTTCCGTGATTGGTCACGTGTCTTTTTCAATAATCAGATAAATGCAGTACGAATGAGTGAGGTGTAATTAAGCAAAATGAAAATAATGAAGACACGTAGAAAATTATTAGTAAAGCTTGTAATTAGAAAAGGAGATACAAAACCAGGAGATATGATTACGAAGATTGCAAGTCATAGAACAAACTTGCAATCTAGTAACGTTTTGCTGTGTGTAGAGCGTTATCAATCCATGACTCGATAAAGCTCTACACACAGTTACAGGATGCCCCCATTACAAGCTTGTTATGTAACTTGTGCTTCTGTCTGTACTCGTCATGTCATCCACATGTACTCGTCATGTCATCCACATGCACTCGTCATGTCATCCACATGCACTCGTCATGTCATCCACATGTACTCGTCATGTCATCTACATGTACTTGTCATATCATCCACATGTACTCGTCATGTCATCCACATGCACTCAACATATCATCCACATGCACTCGTCATGTCATCCACATGCACTTGTCATGTCATCCACATATACTCGTCATGTCATCCACATGCACTCATGTCATCCACAGAGTGTTTTAAGTGTAATCGAGCACATAGACAACGTAGCCAATTGTATACATGGAAAAAATTACACCTCAGAAACAGAATTAAGAAAGTAAGAAGGGAAAAAAAGATATTTAAGTTGTCAAGGTTTATTTTACTGTGTGAGAATATATGGAAGGACGAATTCAGATACGCTAACAAGAGGAATAAATATACTGGCAAAATAAAAATAAGAATGTAGAGTTAGAATAAAAGAAAGAATTGCTGAGAGACGAAGATTTTGTAGGGAATCATAATGAATGCAAAAAAAAAAAATTACAAAGAGGTTAATAAAAATCTAATTTTTCTTAGAAATTGAGAAAAAGTGAAAATAATGCGAAATATAAAAATTTGTTCATCTTAAAAGGAAGAAATAATAATAAAGAAATACATAAAAAAGGCTTAAAAAATTTAATGGTGCAAAGAAGTGAAATTTAAAAGAAATTGTGAAGCGACTGATCCGAGACAATATTTAAAAATAGTATTTCCAAAAAAAAAGAAATGTAAATTAGGTCGAAATAAAATGTATTTTAAACATCCCCTCAAGGAAGGTTCCTTGATGTTGGTGAGGGGCTCTTGATTTAGGGAATTGGATCTGTGCTCCAGTTCCCCGAATTAAGCCTGAATGCCTTCCACATCCCCTCCCCCAGGCGCTGTATAATCCTCCGGGTTTAGCGCTTCCCCCTTGATTATACTAATAAGCGATACAATGTCTAAATAAACGTTTAAATTACAAAATTGCGCCTTTTATATCAGAATAAAAGAAAAAAAGTGGTAAAAGCAGAATTTTTTTATAGATTTTTAATACAGCACAGATACGGTATTATAAAGAATATACAACGTTTAAAACATATTGCACATGAAAGAACTATGTTTATTGCTGATACTGATATCAAATGGAATGATTACGTTTACCGAGATGTCTCTCTCAGAGCATCTGTGCTGAGAGTTTTTAATAATAATAATAATAACAATAATTTTTATTTCTTCAGGTACAAGGTATACAGTCCTAGCTGACATCAATGATGTACCACTGGAAAGGCCCTTGTTATGCAGAGCATTTCGGGCAAATTAGGTTAATTTTGTCCCAGGATGCGACCCACAGTAATCGACTAACACCCAGGTACCTATTTTACCGATAGGTGAACAGTGACAGCAGTTGTCATAAGGAAACACATACTAATGTTTCCACCTGTAACGGGGATCGAACCACGGACCTCAGTGTGTGAGCCGAGTGCCCTGGCAACCGAGTTACAGGACACCTTATTTCATTCAGTTTATTCTAATCGGCGCTTCAGAGATTTCAGTATTCTTGATTCTGACGAGTGATGAACAGGTTAGGTACAGTCTTAATGACCCTCGTGTACTCGACAGGTTTTAAACTCGGTTAATCAACGAAGCCAGAGAAAGGTATAATAAATTAGTCACTTCTCGAAGGAAGGTACTCAGTGTGGAGTAAGAAGGTGGAGTAAAATGACGATAAAATAAGGAAGGTCATGGAGTAACAAGATGATAAAATAAGGAAGGTGGAGTACTAAGATGATAAAATAAGGAAGGTGAGGTACCAAGATAAGAAGGTGATGGAGTAACAAAACGATAAAATATGGAAGGAGGTGGAGTACCAAGATGATAAAATAACATAAGCTACACATATTCAAATCTAATTATTTTTTTTTTTACAAAATTAAAGATTTAAAGTCAAGATAAAGATGTGAGACTCAGGGTCGTATATGGTTACAACCCAAGATAAATGTGATAAGGGAACACTTAGAATATTCAAGGATCTGATGCATTCAAGGTAATCTTCAATAAGACGAAGACTTAGACACGTATGTAACTTCTGGGTATCTTTATTTGTAGACGTTTCGCCATCCAGTGACTTTATCAGTACAATACACCAACGCCAAGGCTGATGGACTGATTACCTCATCTTTATATATATATATATATATATATTATATATATATATATATATATATATATATATATATATATATATATATATATATATATAATATATTGTTCTATATTTTTCATATTATGCCTTATATTGTACTGATAACGCCACTGGATGGCGAAACGTCAACAAATAAACATAACCAGATTTTACACGTGTCTAATTTTTCGTCTCGTCGGAATTATATACCAATTATGTACAGTCTTCAACAAGCTAGAATCTCCCCAATAAAATTTTACAAAGGTAAAGTGACAGCCTATGTGGCTTATGACTCTGCAACTAACAAGGAAATGGTCAGCCATTGCACCATAATATAACGAATATTTGTTTTGTTTTATTCGTTGGCATGATAAATAAGCAACTTGGATCAGAGAAGGCAACACGATGTCATTACTAGACCCGGTATTTACTAGAAAGGAACAAGATATCTTCAGTATTTATTATGTTAACCCAATTGGCAAAAACGATTACTGCCTTTTAGGGCCGATATATGTTGAAAGGAATGGGGTGAGGGAAGGGGGGGGGGGAATAAGAACACGAATGATGTACCCAGGATTACGAGAGCGCAAAGCATGCACACCGAAAGGAATTAATGGAATGAAAACTAATGGAGCGATAACTAATGGAGTGGAAACTAATGGAGCGAAAACTAATGAAGTGGAAACTAATGGAGCGAAAACTAATGAAGTGAAAACTAATGAAGTGAAAACTAATGGAGCGAAAACTAATGAAGTGAAAACTAATGGAGCGAAAACTAATGAAGTGAAAACTGTTGGAACGAAAACTAATGAAGTGAAAACTAATGGAGCGAAAACTAATGAAGTGAAAACTAATGGAACGAAAACTAATGTAGCGAAAATTAATAGAACGAAAACTAATGGAGCGAAAACTAATGGAGCGAAAA